GAAATCCATCTAGTTTTCTGTATGGAGGACTGGAACTACAGGTATCGTCCCGATTCGTCGACAAATCGGACACTTCAGAGAATATACATCAAAGAATTTCAAAGGCGGGAGGGGCGGTGTGAAAGTGAGTGTCAACGAATCGGGACTGAACCGAACTACATCATCGTATCCGCCTTTTTTAAAAATTCCTTTTCCTTACAGAGAAAGGTCGACTTTACTGGGAAAAATCGAAATTCTGACACTAATTGGCAATTGTCTCCATCAGAACTCAACTTTCACGCAATGCAAATATCATACTGGAAATCAGCGCCAAAAGTCGAGTCGAATGATATATATTTCGAAATTTTTCGTTTATTTTCATTTTTTGATGAAAATCTCAGTAATTCTTCGACGCAAAAATTACAGTGATCGAATACGGTAAAAAAAAGTACATCATTTGACTCGATTTGTGACGCTGATTCTAAATATGATATTTTCATTAAGTGAAAGTTGAGTTCTGATGGAGACAATTGCGAATTAGAGTCAGAATTTCGATTTTTCCCAGTAAAGTCCGCCTTTCTCAGCAAGCAAAAGAAATTTTTAAAAAAGGTGGATACGATGATGCATGAATGGTAGTTCCAGTCCTCCACACAGAAAACTAGATGAGTTTAAAAAATGACTCATACCTTTTTAGCACCCGCCCATTCGGATGTTCATGGCGGACAAGTGTTTACTTTAACCCAAACAAACTCGTTGAAACTCTCACTCACACATTACAAATACTAGGTTTAGGTTTATATTTAGAGTAAAATAACACTTTATCCGGCACATGTGGCCACGATATCATTAAGAAACCTTCGATAAACTCGCGACGTTCACACGCGAAGAATATTGCGCATCAGCGAATTGATAGTACAAAAAAGGATTTATCCTCATCATTTGGCGTCTGTTCAACATCATTCCTTTTCACTGTATTGCAACGACGAACTATTTTTTATTCTGAATAACTTAGTCAACCAGAGTGAAATTCTGCTGTTTAGGCCGCCAAAACGTCCTTTTACTGAAAACTGGTTCATTTTCTGTATTTTAGCTGGACGCGCACAGTAGCACAATCAACTTTCTTCATGACTAGCCACATATCGAATGCGTTGGAATGTCTATTGCCACCGCCAAAGGTGTCATCAAGGAGCTATTACCATCTTTAGAAGGTGTCTATAACGGCTACTGCCACTGCCAGAGATGACACCAAGGAGCTACCTTCAGAGGGTGTCAACTATACCTATAGACGGGGGCCACCCTCTAAGGGTGTGAAATAGAGCTATTACCACCTACCACCTGGCAATAGTCGTCACTGACACCTTCTGTAGGTGGAAATAGTCGTAACTTATGATTAGGAATGCACCAGTTTCAGTTAAAGCGCAGTTAACTGTAACTGCAAAACTATAGAGCTGTAAAACTGTCACATTTAAAAACTGTCTCAGTTAAAACTGATACAGTTAAAGACTGTTATAGTTAACATTTTTTTAAAGAAGTAAACGCAATTCGTACATTTGTAGTGTGTATAAGCGTCGGGAGATATCTGTTTCAAGTTAGTATTTGATTTCATGTTTGACGAAATACTCTTTTCAAACCTTAAGATATGAAAACAGTATTTCAGTCTCTTCAATATTCTCGAAACCTGAAAATTACATACTCTGTGTAAACGATATCTCCCGACGATTCCAAATGTTCGAATTGTGTTTGCTTTTACCAAGAATTTTTAACTGTGACTGTTTTAACTGAGACAGTTTTTACAGTTACAGTTAACCGTAACTGTTGCATGCCTACTTATAATATAGAAAAATGCAAAACTGAACGTGCTTGAAACTCAAACACATCAATTTTTTCAAAATTATGCCATCAAGGATTTATATCCTGTATAGTAATGACTGTCGCGACTTTTATTTACCGTGGCTCTCAAAACTGTTGACCTAGATTTATTTTCAGTTTTTCTCCTCGAAGATAATAGCTACAACAAATCTGAGAAGAGATTTGAATAGCTCATGGAGTTTTCAAGCTTCTCTATGGCAGATAAAGGTTTCAGTAAAGTTTCTAAAGTTTAGATCTCTTTAAAACCTAAATCCTAGAAAACTAAGTCGATGCATTCGAGTGATACTTTTTTTGTAACAGCCTCATGGTGTACAGAAATGCAAATCAAAACCCTTCTGGGCTCTCTACAGCACTCTATTTAAGAAAGGTCCCATGTCACCTTCCAAAAGCTTAGGAAAATTCTTTGAACGAAATGGTGCAGAAAAATTTCCATGGGAAAGTAGTATTAGTTTGAAAATTTTTCCTAAACTTTTGAAAATACCCCTCGCCAAAAATAGAAAATCTTCCGGGTTATCGAGCGTGACTTTTCAACAACTCAAAACCAACTTTATTTTTTCCGGTGATATAAGTGCATTTTAGAATGCTCACATTCTTGCTAGAAATAACTTCAAATATATTTTCACAGTTGAGTTTTAAAGAGCACAGCCATTTCTTATTTTTTTAACGTACTGTGAAGATGAAAACCATTCTTACTCGCATTTTTTGCATGTTTCAATCTGCGTTTTGTTATTGATTTGTGATAAAAAAGGATAAAAAGTTAAATAATTTGAACCTTTAACTTCGAAGTAAGTACACAGCAATTTGAGACGAAAAAAGAGAGAGTTAAATCGTCTTGCGTTTTTTCTGTCACAAAACTGAACTATGCTTCTCATTAACAGTTATGAAAGGTCTTTCTTCTGAGATAATGTACCAAATCTAAGATCCTTTCCCCGTTGTGAAGGCTCGGTTAAAAATATTGACTGAGCAAGATCTTCAAATAAAAATGCACAAAAGTGAGACATGTAGAAAAATGTTTGCTTTTTAAAACTCAACTGTGAAAGTATATTTGAAGTTGTTTCTAGCAAGAATGTGACCATTCTAAAATGCACTCATATCATCGGAAAAAAATAAAGTTGGTTTTGCGTTGTTCAAAAGTCACGCTCGATAACCCGAAAGATTTTCTATTTTGGGCGAGGGATACTTCCAAAAGTTTAGAAAAAATTTTCAAACTAATACTACTTTCCCATGGAAATTTTTCTGCGCCATTTCGTTTAAAAGTTTTTCCTAAGCTTTTGGAAGTACCCTACGCCAAAAATAGAAAATCTTCTTGGTTATCGAGCGTGCTGAATACGAAAAAGCACTTTCAACAACTCAAAACCAAGTTTATTTTTTTGGTCCGGTGATATGAAATTCACAAAAAAAACTGTTCAATAGTTGTTTTTGTATGAATTTAGTGCAGTTAGAATGTTTATATTGTACCATACATAACGTTGAAATTTTTCTAGTTATATGAAATTGTATTCCAAACATTTCTCTACAAAATGAGAGGTTCTGCGACTCTGAGCAATTCTTTATAGGTGACTTCCAATAGTTTTCGCGGAAGCCCTAACACTAGTTTTTAACTGGTGCATGCCTAGCTCGACCGTGAAAACACGATGTAGAAAGAAAGATGAATTTTTCTAGGTGAAAAGCAATAAGTCTCCTTTCGTTTCACTCAGTCGACTGAAAAGAAAGTAATACTTGCATGAAAGACGGAGGCAGGAAACAATGTTCTTGCCAAGTATCGAACGTAGGATCTTCTGCGTGTTAAGCATATGTGATAACCACTACACCACGAGAACGTTCTCCTATTCATCAGTCAGATTCCTGGAGAATCTACTTCAATTGTCATTCGTGCTCGCACAACAGACATCGAAAACTTCCCAGCAAATTCAAATCCCTTATTATGAGAGAGTATAAATCATGCTGGTGGCAGCTTCATGAATGATTGATCTAACTTCAGTAGTTATGATATTAAAATAATAGTGAACGATCATAGTGTAATATCAAAGACACATTAGTTAACCAACTATTTGTCATCCCACAATGATGGGGCAAAAGGAACAGACTCTCATGCAAATGTTTGCTCAATGATAAGAGTAGTGGCGGTGCTGAAACATTGAATAACAAAAAGACATGTGAGAGGTATTTAAATTTCGATGAACGTGGCAGTTCATCATTTTTGGAGGGTGGGGGTGTTAGGTCACGAGATCATTTATTATTAGAGGTTATTTTAAAAATCATCCACAACCGACGTAGCCTTTTAATCTTTGCTGGCATTCATCCATTATTAGTAAAATTTCGATCAAAAAAGATCATAATCAGTAAATGACTAGCTTTCGAAATGAGAACAAGTTGAAATGACAGGTTATTGCGCGGTCGTATCGTAATAATTGAATGCACCGTATTCAAACGAATTTAATATTAAATAACAAACGTACGCTACATACATACCGTTTATAAGAACTTCGTCAGCTGCTCCTGCATTCAATTGTGTAAGACTACTATTATAGAACATCTAACTATTGTACATTCACCGATCTGTTGGTGCTACTGTAGCAGCAATAGCACCAATTACTAAGAACAACATATCTAACTATGATACATCTGCGATGGTAATTTTATGAAAATTATAATTATAATTATTTTAATTATAATTATAATTTTCATTCTTTTTAAATATTACTTAAAATTATAATTATTTCGTGTTATTTCATTCGGCAACAGCGGAAAAAGCAATTTGTTCTCTCACACCATATATATATGTATATATATATATTGATATATATATATATATTGAAGGTAAATGTTTTAAAACAAATTTTTAATTGTTACAGAATCAAAGAAACAAAAGGACATAAGAAAAGAATGTGGATAGAGAAAAATAACTTCAGTTCTTCCAGAACATGAGTTTCACCTCCACTCGTAACACAAGTTCATTCACACTTAACAATTTGTTTTTATTGTTTATATATATATATATATATATATTGTATGAGAGAACAAATTGCTTTTTCCGCTGTTTCCGAATGAAATAACACGAAATAATTACTAAACAAGCATTTGATGAATGAAAAAACTACTTTTGCACTTCTTTTCATAAAATTACTATCGAATATGTATCGGAGTTAGACATGTTGTTCTTAGTAATATATGCTATTGCTGCCGTCGGTGAATGCATAATGGTTGGAAAAATCTATAATAGTAGTCTTACACAATTGAATGCAGAAGAAGCTGACGAAGTTTTTATAGACGGTATATGTGCAGCGTGCGTTTGTCATTTAATATTAAATTCGGCTGAATACGTTGCATTCAATTGTTATTCAAACAACAATACATGTTTAATGTTCAAAAATTATTCGTCATCTTATACGATGGAATCAAATACAAATACAACGTTTATATTTTTGTCGTTGCCACCACCACCAGAAACTCTTACAATTTTGACGACAAGTAAGAAAGTTTAATATTGCACAAGAAAACTAAAGCTGTTTGTGGTTTTTTTCTTTCATTAGCTGTCGATACTGAAGCAAGTGAAATAATAAGCGAATCGTTAACGATAACACCAACAAGTAAGCTGCGTCAATCTATATATTTATAAGCCACAGTCAATTCATTCGTTTTTTTTCAAGCTACTCCTACAACGACACCATCGGCAGCATCTCAGTGTCAATTATCATCATTACCGTCTATACCTGTGAATATTACATATGATCAACTATTACTTTTACAAAATATGTCGACTGAATTCAACGTCTACGAGTGTTATGCTTATGGCTTTTATGCGACATCCCAAACTCATACAGTGTCATTCGGTTTTCGACAAGATCCATTAGCGTGGTGCTTGGATGATGTTTCTGTTGTAAATAACGATACGAACCAACAATTACTTAATAATTCCGGTTTCGAAACGGGCAATTTAACAGGATGGATCTACTCCGATATGAATAGTTGCGGTTTAGGATATTCAAAAGTCGATAATAATGTTACGAACGCTCATTCGGGAATATATTATTATTTGTCCGGCTGTAATGGAGAAACTGATTATTTAGCTCAAACATTTGAGACAACACCGGGACAATTGTATGTAATTAGTTTTTGGTTAGAAAATCTCGGTGGTGTTCCTAGCTTGGCTAATATAACAATCAGTTAAAATTAACGAGAGAACCTCGCGAAGTGATAAAAAGCTTTTTAGCTCATATTTTGGTGATCAATAGTACTAATGCTAATGATTGTATGAAAACGTCTTGAGGATTATGGTGCTTCATTGCTGAGAAATCGATGACTTTTGGTATTACTGATGGCGTTTTGCTGTGACCTGTTTTTTATAACTCAATAATGAAAACGAATTTCTAGTTGAAAATTGTTTTCGTAGTAAGGCGCTCCAAATTCGAAGTTACAGCACTACTTTATTTTTGGCTTAATCATACATCATTCGATAGAAAATTTCACGCTGATCAAGAATATCTGGTTTTTAGTCTTCTCAGTGCAGATTATCAGTGAAAACATTCAAAAAACTTGAAGGATCTCTTATTTTGAAATACCACTAATATTTTTAAAAACTGAGTAACTTGCTTCCACCTCATTTCGAAACTATTCTTATTCAGCGTTAAAACTGCATACAGGAAACTATAGGTTCCAGAACGAACAGAAGTCTTTGAGCGACAAACGAAGCCGGGATCTTCAATTTCACCATGCTCACTTTGCAAACCTATCCACTTGTTTTCGTTAGGAGATGAAGTCAGCTTTCATATGCCATTCGATTTGCCTTGAAACGTAGAATAGTAGTATTAACAAGGGGGAAATAACCTCCAATTTTGCTGCACACACTTCGAAGTGCCTCCAACTTTGAGTGACACTTCTTCACTTTGAGTGTCACTTCGTCACTTAAAGTGACACTTTAACGAGGGAACCTCTCGAGGTGATTAAGAGCTTTTCGACTCATATTATTTTCATCATGTAGGGAATAGTCAGTAGTGAAAAACCCCAAGGTGGTTTGGGCCCATGCGCCTTTTTGACGGAGATATGAGTTAATTAATGAAAATGCCATTAATAATAATTAATTAATAGCTCACGACCATGATCAGCTAGGAGTCGGAAATTTACACCACAATTGAAGATAGATGTTGTCTACTCAGTGCGACACTTTTAGGCTTATAAACCAAAGCTTTTGCAAGATATGAATTTTTTATGATTTAAACAGTTTTTAGTGAAAATTCACCATTGAAAACCTAAAAACT